CCGTGGGCCAAAACGTTAATCAAGTGCTCTTTAGAGTTGATGAATCAATAAAACTGTTCTCTAATCGAGTTTTGGACCCTTTTTCCTTAAGGATTAATGGAAAATCAATGGATTTACTTAGGGGCTTGAGGTCAACAATGGAGGGAGAGAGAGATAGCTCTTTTTCTGTTTTCGACGAGCTAAAATGAGCAGGAGCCAGAAGAGAGACGTTGGAGAGGAAGAGGATGGGTATAAATACCCCCTCAGCCCCAACGGTCACTTAAGTCGGCGGTAGTGCCACGGCTTAAGTGCGGTAGTGCCTCTCTCCAAGTGCGGCAGTGTCGCACCACGCAAAACAGCAAGGGTAAGAGTGGGAGAATTGTGAGATGAATTAAGAGTAAGAATTAAGATCAATTAAGAAACTACTCTTTATTAAGAGTGAGATAAAGATATTGATGAATGAGTACTCTTCATTAAGAGTGAGATAAAGATGTTAATGAATGTGTACTCTTCATTAAGAGTGAGATAAAGTTTTTGATGAATGTGACCATCGGTCATAACAATGATACCCCTAAGCAGAGAAATAACTAAATTCCTGAATTTTTTAAAATTTCGAGAGGAAGATAGCGTAGTCACCATCAAAGATATTAAGGCGGTGCTTAAAGCGCCATATAAGGTTTTAATAGTTTAAACCCAAATAAGAAATTTGAAGATACGCTATCTTTATAAAAGATGGAATGATCTGGGGGAGCACGGTATATAGAGACTTATGATTTGAAGAGAAGCGGGACTGCGTGCCCACTTCAGTGATTCAAAACAATGAATTTCTTGAGACCTGTTGATGTTGTATGACTTATACAACACCTGTTGTTGGCTCTTCAAAAAAGATGAATAATATAAACAAGAATCTTATGATACAGGAGCCTGTAGAATCAATTGCCTCTTGGCAATGAAGAGCAACAACAACCCATATAAAAGTGCCAGTAGCTGAGGCCCCGGAAGGTCTCAAAGAATTAGTAAACCAGTTTTCTAATGACTATGAAGTCTATGTTAGTGAAGAAATTCAAATGGATGGTGATCCCACCTCATTTGAAGAAGCCATGAGAAGCGTTTACTCGTTTGAATGGCAAGAAGCTATGGAAGTTGAAATGAATTCGATGAATACCAACGATAGTTGGGACTTAGAAGAAATTTCTAATGGAGCCAAAATAATAGGCTGTGAAAAGGTATACAAGACAAAATGTGACTCCAAAGGAAATGTGAAAAGATATAAAGCATGACTTATAGCAAAAGACTTTACAAAAAGAGAATGAATAGATTACAATGAGAGTTTTTTCTCCAGTCTCATGCAAGGATTCTTTTAGAATCATAATGGTGCTATTGGCACGTTACGATTTAGAGTTACATCAGATGGATGTAAAGACGACATTCCTCAACGAGGATTTATATGAAAACGTTTACAAGGCACAACCCAAAGGTTTTGTCGTGGAAGAAAAAGAACATATGGGATGCCGCCTGTAGAAATCCATTTATGGGTTAAAATAAGTCTCTAAACAATAGTATTTGAAGTTGATGAAACAATGAGAAAGTTTTGGGTTTAAAGAAAATGAGAAGGACAATAATGTTTATGCGAAGTTCAAGAATGGAAAATTTATTTTCCACATCCTATATATAGATGACATTCTGCTCACTAGTAGTGATGCTAATCTGTCATTGGAGAAAAAGAAGTTCTTGTCCTCAAGTTTCAATATGAATGATATTGGTGAAGTAGAAATTCACCGAGATAGAAGAAAAACGGTATTAGGACTATCGCAAAGGCATACTTAGAAAAGATTCCAAAGAAATAAAATATGCATGCGAGTAAACCTACACTTGCTCCTATAGTCAAGGGTAATAGATTTGGGAACTTTGAGTGTTCCTGGAACCGATAAGAGATCGATTAAATGAACGTGGTTTCATATGCTTCAGCTGTTGGAAGCTTAATGAATGTACAAGTAAGAACTCACCCTGACGTAGCTTACGTATCCAGAATATTTTGACAGAAGTCCAATCCAAATATAGATCATTGGAATTGAGTTGAGAATGTCTTGCAATTTTGCAGAGTATTATGGGCCTCATGCTGAGTAAGAAACAACAAGTACTCTCAAATAATTGTGGGTATAAAATGTTAATTCTTGGCGAGATATATAGTGAAATCCACAGTAGTTGCTAACACTCGCAGTTAGCGTATTATTGTGAAAAAGTTCTAATAAAACAGTGGTGGTGTCATCAATGATGCATAACATAGAATAGCTTGTCATGAGGCTTTAGGAACAGGCAGAAGGTTGTTAAGGGAATATGTACCGGATTTAACAATGGTAGACAACAGCAATAACCATTTAAAGTAGTTAACTTTTAAGACAACAGGTCAAGTGTGCTGCCAAACACATTGACATTAAGTTATATGTTGTAAAGAAGAAAATCCAAAATTATTTTGAAAGCATTGAGCATATGAGTACCAAGTAAATACTTGCGGATCCGCTTACCAAAGGCTAACCACCCAGTGCGTTCAGAGAATACAAAGTTGACATGGGTTTACGGGAAAGCCTATGATTTCTGGATACTGAGGGCCTAGTTGAGAATCTGTTTCAAAACAGAGAGGTGCATTGTAGCTGTTAAATCTAATGACAACTGACCATGACGATGATGCACGCTCTATGCACTGATCTGTGATAAAATGGGAAAAAGATAAAGTAAGTTAAGTATAAGACATAAGGTGAGATCAATGGGGAGAATGTTAGGTTGATTTCTACCAATTTGGCCAAACGGTTAATTGGGCCCTTAGACTCGCGCCTCGATCGGGGCGCCCAGCCGCTCTCTCTAGCTGGTGGGCCACCGTCGTGCAACGCTATGTAAAGGAGGTGGGGGCTGGGGCTCGAGAAACGAGGTTTATCGCAGCCGCCAGCCCCACCGAGGTTCCTAGCCCTAGTCCGATCTAGAAGGACGCGCTGTGAACGACGGGAAGTACCACCGCCACTGGACAACTCCTCCACGTCGCTGCTACATCTACGGTGGCGCTATGGCCGTGACTGTGAGGTACATCATCAAGGTAAGGTATTGTCTAAGTTAAGTAATTATCCACCGATCTACGACCTAGACGTCATTCAATTCTATCAATATACTGTACTGTCTTTGCATTCCATTTAGCAAAGCTCTTTCAATAGTACATCCACTGCTATTATTTTCTTTTGGTGACAGTGACACATGTAAGGAAGATAGTCCATTGATTCATTCCTAAGAGGAAACCAAACTGACACCACTAACTAACTAAATGCAAACAAAGGACACTCTTTCTGACACTGTCTCTGTAGAAAAAGGGGTACAAGTTGTGTTAGTTTATTCCTTGACAGTATAAACTATATGGGTGTATTTATCTTACCAGTACAGAGTACACTGTGAAGCTTAAGCAAGTACTACTAGAATGCTATCTATGCAGCTTTCAAGGACGAGAAACCCTTAGTTATTGTTAGGCAAGCAGAGGACATCTCTTTCAGGAACCGAACCGTGCAAGACCAAACTCTGCACTTCAACGCACAGCCTTGGGCACCTGCACTTCCAGTTATTCCCTTCACGTACAAGTGAAGGGTTTCAACACAAGAGAGATACCGATGTATGCTGTCGCTTGTTATTATTAATTATACCACTTGCGGGCAAAGTGGCAACCTTTTTTTTATGAGGGCGAAGTTGCAACTGGAAGGAAGCAAGGAAGAAAAGCTGCTGCAGAGTCCAAGTCCTAGCCTAGAAGGAAAAAGAAGGCTACACCACCAATTCGGTACTGTAGCTTGCTGCTTGCAAGTCATGCTGATCTGTCTGAATTTTGATGATCCAGTCATCCAGAACAACCAAACATGGACTTGAGCTCCAAACAAAAAGAAAATATAATTCTCGTTTTTTTCGAGAAATCAAACAGTTTCAAATTTAACTGAATCCATATAAAAATAATAACATTTATGATAACAAATAAGTCTCATTCGAGTTGTCATGAAATAGTATATACATGTTGATATTATTTTCTATGAACTTAGTTAAATTTGACTAGTTTAAATTTGATCAGATCTAGAATTACATTATTTTTTTTTTTTTTGGCTAGGAGACCGAGACATCAAGTCAGAGAAGTCGTTGCTGTTGTACACGTACAGACTTTTGGGCTAGTATGTACAGCAAACAGCTGGGAGAAGAGGAAAATTGGACGTGGAATCGGAGAGAGGACAAGAGTTGGTCACGTATGAGTACTCCCATTTCTAGGAGGAGAAGAAGAAATCGGCCCATCTGGCACTGATGAATGCTGCTTGGATCATACTCCTCCCCTCCTAGACAGATGTAAAGTCAAGTGCGCTCCTCTCTCTGATCTGATCGATAACAGCATATATGAATCAGTACATGACAATTCACTTGATCTTTAAAGAACAGTCCGTCACTGAACTGTAAAGCTTGTTCAACCGGTATCCAGAATGCAGATGGATCACTTCTGAACTCTAGAGATGAATGAATAAGGCAGCAGTGAAAAGCCAAAAAATGAATAAGGCAGCAGTGAAAAGCCAAAAAACGAGAGACGATCCGAGCCTCTGCTTTTGCTGCCTGCGAATGAACATGATTCTCTCTGGGTCGGGGTCGCGGCCGCCGCAAGAGCGCATGCACGACGGGTGGGTGGCTCAGGTCAGTCAGCCCACGCGTTTCCTCTTGACCCCGGTGCCCTGGCACTGGAGCGTGCAGCAGCCTCAACTCCTGAAGAGGACGGCGGATAGGGACAGCAGCTGATTGGCGACAGGCAGTCAGGCAATGGTAATGAGACATCTCCTCACATTGTGCAGGGAATGCAAGGAGGAACAATATAAGCATAACCACCAGGCCTCCTCATCTGTCCCTCATGCCGATTATATTGAGTGGCATGAAGTGTAAGATGATCCGACTAGTAAAGTACAGGAGGGCTTTGGAAATCAAGTCACAGCAGCACACATGCATATATTCAAGTTCGATCCATTTCATGGACCAAGGATGGTTGGCTCTTTGATACTACAACCAATTGTGAGGATCTGGAGAACTTCAGAAAAAAATAACATGGAACAATGGATTGCAGTAACAATAGCAGGGAATCTAAGACTGAAGTCAACCCGTTACAGTCTTACAGACACTCATGAAACTACTACTATTCTAGGGTTCTAGACATCCATGTCTGCGATAAAAGATGCAGTGATACACATTCAGATCGAATCCTCAGGTTACATAGTGCTAGGATGCTTAAGTTAAGCATACAAGTTTAAAGGAAACTTCGTATGCAAAATAAAAGCAGGAAAGCGCGCCTTCTCGGAGGAGTGTCATCTTGGCTCCCGACTTGTTGCTTGCTTCGACTGACCGATTTACTGAACAGATGTAGGACTTGCCTCGTTGAATCCTATCATGCATCTAATCAACAGACAACAACGTAGAATTACTCACTTGCCTTGGTGAATCTATCATGCACCTCATCAACAGACAACAGGCCAACATCTCTACCTGCAGAAACAACAAGTCCGTCATACAAGGAAACATTTACTTCAAAGCATCATGCATGTGTATTAGAAACTTTCAGGCTCATGAGGGTCACAAGACAGTACCAGCAGTCATGAAGCTTGAGTAAGGATAAATTTTGTTGTAGCGAATTTCTTCAGACACCTTCATACACTTCATCGACTCCAGGTTGAACATGACGATGCCAGTATGTGTCCACAGGAAGATCACATTGTTCTCCTCCTTAAACCACACTATTCTCAACGCCGGCCAATACAACTGCAGTTCTAGTGGGAGGGGTATGTCCAGCAGAACAGTTTTGCGCAGCACCCACTTTGCAGCACTGCTAAGAACTGTATCCCACACCCAGAATTGGATGTTGTGTTCATATTCATCTAACATGACAATACAAAGGAGGCCATCCTTCGTCATGAACAGATATCTGAAGAGGAGGAAAGGTCGCCTCACCTGAAGGTCGAGACGGAACCAATTGATCGAATCGAATCAAGGAGCAGCGAGGACGCGAGCGGAACTAGAATTTCACCGTGCGCGCGCGTCTGTTAATATGGGGGCCCGGCGGGCGGCGGTGTGCGGTGGCGATTTCCTGTCCTTGTCGGCTTCGGTTCCGTTCGTCGTTTGGCAAGGCAAGAAAACAGAGGTACCAGAGCGTGGCGCCGCCTGCAGCTCCATCTTACTTGCGGCCCGGTCCGGCCCAATATGTCCAGCCTTCCAAGCACAGCGGACAACCCACTCGGCGCCTTAAGTGGCCCAACTGACCGCGGTGGCTGCGCACCAACGGACGTTGCGGGCCAGCAACAGCAAGCGCGCAGCGTGTGAGGCCGGGGCGTGACTGTGAGCGCTCGCCGCTCGCCGCTCGGCCAGAGCCCAGAGCCGCAGGTCGACTCAAAAACATGTCGGCAGATGTTGGACTGCTCACTCGGCCCGTGGGCCGTGGAGCGTGAAGCCCTTGTCAAGTGTCCACGAGGTAGCTGGGATCCATTTTTCCTATCTTCTACGTCTATTGTGTCCGTTTGACGTTACTCATCAGTTACTAAGTTCCCCTCAAAAAAAAAAAAAAATTCAGTTACTAAGTTCGTTTAATTGTAAAACTGGATTTTTATATATTTCAGCTTTTGCAATGATCATGGCTGAACTCGGTGGTAATTTGATGCGGCTTCCACACGCGCTCTGGTGGCGGAGCCGCACCAAACTCCCCAAGCAGCCAGAGCACTTCCGCATCCAAAATCAGAGGAGCCAGAACCCTTTTCACGGTACGGACGCGGAGCTGCCCTTAGAAGCTCCGCACAGGTGCTCCAGCTCCGCCTACGGAGCTCACGGGGGAGGAGCCCTGCCAAGCTCCCATTTAACACTGTTGTATAGATAATAGATACATATGTGGCTCCAAGTGTAATATGAATTGAGCTAACTTTCCACTTTGTCCCCTCTCGATCCATGTGGACCTACCAGAGGGGATTGTTTCGTTCTCGAACACTCTTAAGGGCCTGTTTGGTTAATTTTCCTCACCACCGTTGTATAGATAATAGATACATATGTGGCGTAAAATCTAACTCCCAATTTAGGCCCCGTTTAACGGCTTTCCACTTTGTCCCTCTTGATCCATGTGGACCTACCAGAGCCTTGAATTGATTTTTCTCTCCTCCTCCTCTCTCTTACAGGGCCTGTTTGGTTCGGAGAAGCCGTTTTTTCGGCTTTTCCCGTGTGCGGTGCGTGTGCGGTGACGTACAAGATGAGCGGTTCGTCTTCTATAAAGTGGACGATAAAATCTAACTCCCAATTTAATCTCGCGATGAATGGGTGGGGGCTCGTGGATACCGCAAAGCGTTTGGTGGGATTTTCGTTGATTCTGTCGGTTAGCCATCGAAAATCTGATTTTAAGCATATTCAAACAGGGCGTAAATCAAGGACTGTTAGCCAAAAAAAAATCAAAACGCCCCAGCCCAACTGAACTGCTACTAGGCCCGAAAGCACAGCAAGCAAAGTTTTTTTTTTTTACAACGCAAGCAAAGAAGTACGTCGCGGCACGTTTCATCACACCAGTTACGTGACATACGAAGTACGCTTTGCAAGCAAGGACGCTCCCTTGTCCGCCTCATCATCAGCTCCTGACCGATATGATTCGGTCCTCCCCTGTCCCCTGTGGCCGTCGTTCTCTGGACGACAAGTGCTGCCTGCTGCGTGATGCAGCATGGGGCCGGGGCAGCTAGGGACTAGCAGCGCAAGGATGCAAATGCAAGGAACAACGTCCAAATAAACGCTGAATGCAATGCACCCTACCTAAGCAAGAGGCGAAAGCTACGTCTAGAGTTCTAGTAGACCAATTATTTTCTACTCCCCTACGTACGTACACCATCGCAGCAGCCATCTCTTCCGTTTGTTTATTCCCGTCTGGCGCCGGTCCTTGTCCAATCGGCCGGCCACCACCACCTCCATTGCCGGCCTTGGGCAGCGACCTGGGCGATGCGACGCACCACGCCACGCGCTCCTCTACCTCACCTGGCCCGGCGCCCTCGCAGGGTCAAACATCACATGCGTGTATATAAGACGCACCCCCTCCTTCAATTCATCCAATCTCGGTGAAGCTTACTCTAACACACAAGCTGTGATCGGTAGTTAGTAAGCTGTGATAGATCGTTGCACCGGCGATCGACGTACGGCGGCGGGCAGTGGCACAGCTAGCTAGCTAGCCATGAGGCAGGCAAGGCCGTACTCGGGGATCTTCTGCGGCGGGGTGTCGGCGCGGACGGGGCCGCACGCGCTGCCGCTGGCGCGCATCAAGAAGATCATGAAGCGCTCCGCGGGGGAGACCGCGGACGGCGGCGCCAGGATGATCTCCGGCGAGGCGCCCGTGGTGTTCTCCAAGGCGTGCGAGCTCTTCGTCGCCGAGCTCACCCGCCGCGCCTGGGCCGCCACGCTCGAGGGCAAGCGCCGCACCGTGCACAGGGAGGACGTCGCCACGGCCGTGCACAACACCGACCTCTTCGACTTCCTCGTCGACGTCGTCAACGCGGACACTGCCGGCGGCGACGACACGCACGATGTTGACGACGTCGGCGACGGCGCGCTGGGGTAAGCAAGCTCTGGAGACGAATTTTCCAGCCTGAGTGCTCCGGCTTCTGGCTCAGAAAACCACCTATTCCCGTATGTCTATTTGTGCTGCGCAACAAGGACGCCGATGCTCTGATGCAGTGACTTGTAGTAACTTCTTTCATGCAATCCTATATGCAGTGGCATGTTGTTGTTACTTGTTACTACTGAATGAATGATTTTTTTTTTTTTTTTTGGGAACGAACTGATGAATGAATGAAACTGGGCATTTGCTACCAGATCACATACGTACGTACTCATTGCCATTGGAGATCTTTGTCAGGAGATATTTCTTTCGAAGACTTTCATCTTAGCATGTTTTTTATTATATAAGAAGAGGAGACGAGGACTTTTATCTTTGAAGTATAGGTCTATGACAATTCACCATTTTTTTAAAAAAAAATCCGTGCCTTGTCAAATTATTTTGGGTGTTTCTGCCTTGTCTCCAGTACTTGTCCATGACCTGAAACTGAAAGCAGCAGCACCCAGACCCAGTGCAAAATCCAAACGTATACCAGCACACGCAGCGGGACCCGTGACAGTTTATGTGCAAGCCATACGACAAAGGGCTCGGCCACCCTAAGGCTAGGCAGTACGCGCGGTATGTAATTTCAGGCTTCCATGTTCACACTACTGCAGACGGGCTCTTTGCCGAGTGCTTCGGGCACTCGGCAAAGCCCCTATTGCACTTGGCAAAGGCTTTGCCGAGTGCCACACTCGGCAAAGAGCAGTCGGCAAATAACCCGTCGACAAAGGTTCCTTTGCCGAGTGCCACATATCGGGCACTCGGTAAAGCCTTTGCCAAGTGTCACGTCAGCACTCGATAAAAAAAAATCCGACGTCAACTCTGACGGCCTCTTTGCCGAGTGCCACCTCAGCGGCACTCGACAAAGAATTTTTTTCTTTTTTTTTTGAAAATTCTTTGCCGAGTGCCATACTATTGCACTCGGCAAAGAAAATTTTCCTTTTTTTAAAAAATCTTTGCCGAGTGTCATGGCTCTGGCACTCGGCAAAGCTAGGAAATTGGGTCTCTGCTTCCCAGCTTTGCCGAGTGTGGCACTCGGCAAAGAGGGGGAAAATGCTATTTTTTTGGTTTTTTGTTTTTCATTAGCACAAACAAAGAAATCACATATATATCAACACACAGCACATGATATATCACATACACATCCATATTCCATCACATACACATCCATAACCCATCACATCCACCATCCATAATACATCACATACAAATCCATTGTCCATAATCCATCACATACATTCGCATCATCTATGATAATATCCATCACAATATATATATGTCTCTAATAGTAGTCCAACATAAGGCTAAGTCTAACACAAGTCCATGCAACATGAAAAGAAACAAATAAATGGTAGCTACTGCCAGCCTCCCCACCCGGAGTGTGAACTGCCACCTTGAGGAGGGCCAGTTGGCCACCCGGCCTATGGAGAAGGGCCATCTTGAGGAGTCCGGTTCGAACCCGCCGACTGTGGCTGCACGAAGGAGAAGCGAATTCATGAGTATCTACAGGAGGGCCACACAAGCTAAAAAAATAAACAACCATATATACTCACCGGAGTCTCTACAGGAGGAGGAACCACAACTGGAGCGAGCAGCGATTGGGGCACGACCACACCTAGCAAGGCCTGAAGGCTCGCCATGAAGCTGAACATGTCCTGCAGCCTCTACGCCTCGACCGCCCTCTGGGCTTGTACAGCCTCCATCTCCTGCCGATGGGCCTCCGCCTGGGCCGCCTGCTGGGCCTTCAACCTCCGCAAGTCGGCCTGCAACATTCCACCCGCAATGTTTAAACAATGCAAAGGCAAGGTAGATGTGTAAAAGTAATGAACGACGAATAAAACAGTACTAACCTGGAGTTCCGCCATCTGCTGTTGTGAGCTCTGCTGCCGAGAGCGTATGGGGAGGGAGGAGCTCGTGCTCCTTGCTCGAATCTCGGCGAGGTTGGGAACAGAGGCGGAGTCAACTGTGTTGTCCGCCATCCAGTACCGGCCGTGCTGCTTCCCTCCTCCCATCCTCATCAGGAGGTCTGTGTCTAGGGGCTAGGTGGCCAGATCGAAGTCCTCCCCATGGTGCTCACGGGCCGCCGAGGTGTACTCGCTAAGCTTGTTGTGGACGCTCGTGTTGGTGTACGCCTCGGGCCCGTCCGTCGGGTTGTAGGTGACTTCTGGGGCGGTCGCCTTGCCCTTGTGTGCCAGGGCGTACGCCATGAACTCGTTGCATTCCTAGCCTTGGTGTGCCTGGGACTGCGAGGAAAACACAAAGATGATTACAAGTAATGAGAATTGAGCGTTAGAATAAATAAATAAAGATGAAAACACAAAGAAGATTACCCATGTCTGGGCGTACGCGCTGAGGCTCCGATTGCCTTGGTGGTGTGGCGCCCCACCCATCTGCAGGTGGCAGTCCCGACGGATGTTGTGCTTCTCCACCCACTCCTCCGAGAGCCACCTGTCCACAATGGCCTCCTAGCAGAGGCGGTGCCTGGCGCACCAATCAGGACATTGCTGCATGCCATCAAGTTATTGATATGTCAGAAGATGAAATAAAGCCTACCTATTCTTCATGGAAGGAGTCAGTATTAATGTTTCGTACTTACCGAGAGGTACTGCTCCTTGGTGAGCGTCCTGGTCCTGGCATCGGCCATCCTCACCACCTGACCAAGGACATCGACGCTGTAGTTGATGATGCACTAGAGCCATGTCTCGTGGTACAGGTCCGAGAGTCGGGACCTACAGACCTTGTCCTGCACTCGCGCCGCCCGGTCCTCAAACCCTTCGTCGCACCTGAAGAAGTCCTGCATACATACATCATGTATCGTTTCATTATTTCAAGAACGACCAATGAATGTGTAGTATTGACCAATTTAGTGCGATGCAGACTCACCTAGAACTCGGCCTTGATCCGCGCCGCAACGGTGCCGAACTCGCTGTCCTTGGCGGCGTAGAAGTGGTCCCACGTCCAGGGCGGTGAAGTCACCGAGGCGTAGGTGACCATGCCAGGGTAGTGCTGCCGGATCAGAAGGCCCAGGGTGCCATTGATGTGTCGGCCCGTTCCGGACACAACTTCCCAGTTGCTGCAAGAGTCATTAAGAAGAATTGTTAGTCTCCAGTTCGATGTTCAACATGTCATATGAAATAGTAGTGAAATAATACTTACTTGTTGCCGCTAGGTTGAATCACCGGGTGCCGGTGAAGTGGGATCGGCCGCGCCGGGAGCTGCGAGGGCCCGCACAAGTAGACTCCCGATGAGGTAGAGCTAGAGGCAGTGCAAGTGGAACCCCCTGCTATCGCTGTCGCCACCGCCCCGTGGTCCGACGAGTCAGAGGAAGTGACACCCCCTCCTATGTGCAGGCCCACCACTTGGTCGTCCTCGTCCACCGATGGGGTGGCAACCGGCTGCACCCTTGTCCTCGGACGGCCGCGGGGGCGGCCGCTCCTCGTCCTCCTCGTCGGCGGCTCCGGCAAGGGGTCGTCCTCAGCGTGGGGTGGTGAGTGCTCCCTCATGTAGAGGGAGTTGACCCCCCGACAGGCCTGCCTCCCGCCCGGCATTTTGTCGAGTGCCTGCAATTTCAAAGAGTAAACCAATTAGCACAGTTAAATTACAAGTACTTATAAAGAGATGCAAAATGAACGAAACATAATTGCAATAATAATAATAATATAGTATTACATGAATTAGAAATATTCTTCACAATCGGCAGCGGCTGGATCATAGGTGTCGTCATCACTATCAATATTGTCGAGTAAATCGGGCTCATCTCCATCGTTGTCATCATTGTCATCGTCTAACTGTAATCGCTCAAGCATTTGTAAGTCCTTAGCATTTTGCACCTCTTCTTCGTCGTCCTCATCTCCCTCGTCCTGATCAATGTCATTGTCTACTTCCATGCCCATCAGCGAAAACATGTCTATGTCAAACCTCCCTTCTAGCCCCTCTGGTTGATAGAACTCCCGTGTGTTTGGGTCAAAGTTGTAATCCTCATCGTTTGGGACAGGCAGTTTACCATGCGGCGATACCAACTGCACAAGGTACCAACCGATAAGATTGGGGTCTTTTTGGCACACCCATGGGAGATAATAAACTTGCGTGGCCTGTTGAGCCACAATATAGACATCCTCTCCTTGATAGACAGAATCCTGTCGAATTTTGACTTGTCCAATCTCAGGGGTTGTTCTCGTGACATTAGGATCGAACCAATGGCATTTGAATACGACTGGATTAGGAGCTTTGCGACACTCAAAATTGAGCTCGTATATTTCTTCTACTATGCTGTAGTAGTCGCGCTCATCGGTGTCGGGCATACGAACTCCGGTATTCGTGGTTTTCCGATTGGGCCGACTCCGCTCGTAGTTTCTTGTGTGAAAGCGATAGACATTCACATCATAAACGGTAAATGACTTGACCTTGTAGGTGAAGCCTTTGGCGAGCCCTTTCAACTCAGCATCCATTTCCGCATCCTTGCGGGCCTGCAAGGTGAGGCCGGATAGATCGTTACATTACTGGCTCGTAGGAGCAAAGTGGGATGTCAAAGATTGAACGAGGTAAATTGGACGGTACCTTCGTATCGAACCAGGATATGAAATCGGGCACACCATCTTTGAGAAGACTATCTTCTTCTTGAGGGGAAGGAGCCCTATTCCCTCTCCAGTATTTATTCAGAAATTCCCTGAAAAAACAAGAGATAAGGGGGTTGGATAGATGGAGGATAGTGACAAGGGCGTATGTAACAAGCTCATTGAGAACTTACTACACATAAGGCTTCACTTCGTCAAGGTTCAACAACACATACAACATGATAGTGCGCCACTCATCATGCCGCAAGGTCTTGGTGCCCGATGCGCTTGCCTTTCCGAGTTGCCCTTTGAAAAGGCTGAGGTTCGATGAACTCTCATCCGCGTTGTAATGAGGGGGACGATTGTGCATGCTGGGAAGGCCATCCTTATAGTATGCTGTTGTGAAGT